CCAATTTGAAAATTATAGACCCATCTCAATTTTACCTGTTTTTTCCAAAATTTTTGAAAAATTAATGTTCAACCGAATGTGGAAATTTTTAATTAAATTTAATATTATTAACAAAAATCAGTTTGGCTTTATTCCTAAATCGTCATCTGAGCGAGCAGTTGCAGAGTTGTACCGGTCTTTACTTAACGGCTTTGAATCCAAATCATTTACATTGGGTATTTTCATTGATTTGAAAAAGGCGTTCGACGTTATAAATCATAAAATTTTGCTATCAAAGTTGGAAAATTACGGATTTCGAGATGTTGCTTCTAGATGGCTAACGTCATATTTATGTGATCGTACGCAGCTTGTGTCGATGGATGGTATTGAGTCAGCTCCATCGACCATTCAGACAGGTGTGCCCCAAGGATCGATACTGGGGCCGTTGTTGTTTATTTTATTTGTCAACGACATTTTTGAGGTGTCCCATCATTGCACTTCAATTCTTTTTGCGGATGACACCAATGTATTTTTGACTGATAATGATCCAGGTAGTTTTATTTAATTCAATGAACGAAGAACTTAAAAAATATAATAAATTCTTCAAATTAAATAATATGGTATTGAACTTACATAAATCATGTTATATAATCTTTGGTCCTAAAATTAGGACTAACAATAAACTTTTTGACAACTATTCCATAAAAATTGGCGACACCACATTACCACGCGTTTATTCAACTAAATTCTTAGGAATCACAATTCAAAGTGATTTGAATTGGAATCATCACATATTATTTATATTAAATAAATTATATAAAGTGATAGGCATTGTTTATAAGGCCCGTGACAAGTTGGATTGTGGTACTAAACTTATGCTGTATTATTCTTTTTTTTACCCATACCTTATTTACGGCAACATATTTTGGGGCTCAACATTTAAGTTTTGGATTAATAAGGTGTTTATTGCACAGAAGTATTTCGTGCGCATATGTTTCGGCCTAAGTAAATATGATCACACCAGTTATGTATTTGCTAAAAATAAAATTCTTACAATAGAAGAAATTAATAAATATATAACTTTAATTTTTTTGTTCAAAGTAATCAACTATGACAATTATCAGTTTCTCTACTCTTTTCAGTTTACAAGTTCTGCGACTAGGCAACACGGCTTATTAAAATACCAAAAAGTAGAACGGTCACAAATGATC